GCGTGGGAGGGGGGAGAATAGGGGAACCCATGGCTGATATGTAGAACTGAATGGTATTGTAAAATAAAAAATATATATCACAAAAAAAAAAAGATAGGCTCACAACCAAAATTCCCTGCTTCTCAGAAATGTCTGTCAGATATACTAGGCCTGTAGGCCAAAATTGGATGCCCCAATGTTATAGAAGAACCTATCGTGACTGTCAGGCAGCTAGATAGATGTCCCTGTTGTTAGGTAATATTTCACCCTTCTTGGGTCGTTGATCATGTTGGAGACTAGATAGTCATAGTTAAAGTTTTCCTTAGTTATGATAAAAGGTAAATTAGGTATAAAACTGTAGAGTCACAAAGATAAGATAAATAATAGAGTATATTCTCTAAATTTGCCAAATACAAATGGACTGGATATCGTAACTGTAATTCTTACTTAATAACTGTTTTGTTGTATATAATTTTATTATGTTAAAGTTAAAAACCTTCCTTTTTAATTAGACAAAAAGGGAGAAATGGTATGGAATATCCCTTTGTACACTGTGAAGATTTGTTGCTGTGACTGATTTAATAAAGAAGCTGACTACCTGATAGCTGAACAGGATAAGGTTAGGCAGGAGAGCCAGACTGAGAATGCTGGGAATGAAAAGGGCAGAGTATTTGTAACTAATATTAGGTCTCTGTGTGGTAATTTGGGAGCAAGCTGGTGAGAGAAAAACTCTCACCTACAATGTTTAGCTGTTGAGCAATCCACTGCAATCCACTAGCACAGAAAGATTATTGGAATGGCCAATGAAATGCACTTATACACCCAGGCTAAGACTATACTCTCACCTTCTTGTGAAGTATAATAATTATTTGGGCTGGGGGGGGGGCAATTCTTTTTTCCACTGGTTGTCAAGGAGTTTATGTGCTGGAAGAAATAGAGTTGCAGAAGGGAATGGGTGGTGAATAAGTGGACCAATTTTTAGGGCAGTAACACTATTCTGTATAATAATAAGACTGTGATGGTGGATATATGACATATATATCTTTGTCAAAACCTACAGAAGCAGATAAAGCAATGAGTAGGTCCATATTCTCTTTTTATTTTATTAACATTCCTTTCTCATATGTAAACCACTCAGTATGTCCACATCAGTCATCACAACAATCCCATTAAAGAGAGCAACTTCTGTTTATAAATACATCATTGCACTCTGCCTTATCTTTAGTGGTAGATAACCAGTTTGAAGACACTTAGGTATATTTTTCTTTTTCTATTTTTTCATGCATGATATTGGATTCCCTTCAGTGTTTAGTTTTTTGTTTTTCTTTCCTTTGCCTAAAAATTCCAAGTTTGCTTCAGGCTAACTCATCCTGAAATTCTTTTAGGCTACATAAATTAAGTAATGAGTTCCTGACTACAGCTATATAGATACCCCACCTCCACCCTGGACTGGGGAGAACTCAAGCCACTGAGAAGACCATTTGGTTGCTGTTAAGATGTCATGTTTTCTCAGCTGGTTTTTCCCCTTCTGCCTGTCTCAGCTGATGGCTTTACATGAAGCTCCCATTTGGATGTGATAAAAAAGGGCCAGTTACTATGAAGCAAAGAACTTTCTAATTGTAGTAAGAGAAATGATTTATGGCAATGAGCACAGAATGAGATTTGCAATAGCTGGTTGCTTTTTCTGTGGTTTCTTGAGCATCTACCACATGTTTGGCAGTGATGGCATGAAATTCTATAAGTACTACAAACACACTTCACAGGAAGCAAGCCTGTCAGTGATCCTGAGGTCATGGCAAATTGATTCCTAAGAGGCAAAAAGTGTGGCTGGAACACAGTAGTCACTAAAATCTCATAATAATAACAACTGTGAACTCTATAGCTAGTCTACCAGCTGGGGGTGGGGGCTATAGCAGTGAACAGAGCTAGCTATCACTCAACAAATTCATGCACATGTAGGTGAGAAAAGGGAGCAGATGCTACCAGGCAAATCAGAGAGCTGTAACCTGCTCTCTGGACATCCCATCACCGGGGGCAACACTGATGATCTTAGAAGACACCCTGGGCCTTACATGGTTCCTGTGCACAGCCCCCTGAAGTTAACTTCATCCTGTCCTCCACTACTCTTGTAAACATATTGGACTCTCTGTTGCCAAACATTTAAGCCCCTAGACCACAGTTAACTGTACTCAAAACCTGAAACTCTCCCTACTTTATTTCTCTACAACTTTATTAGTCTTTGATACATGGCATATAAACCCTCTGGTCTAACTCTTGACCTAAGGTTCTCAATGTTCATAGGTCTCATAAAGCTATT